TTCTACCCTGTTATGCATGCGTTCATGTCTATCTAAGAATCTCACGGAAATTCTTTATCACTAGAGGCAAGCAGAAATTAATTTTCCTTCCGCTCAAGTTTACTTTTAAGTTGTCTCTGTGAAAGTATTTTTAAGATTCGCACAAGCTTGAATCTCTTCTATCTTACGATGTCCTTAGCATTTAAAAGGTTGAAATTGTCGAAAAATACAAATTCTTGTGAAGTACAATTCTAAAAACATTGCTCTATAAGAACTTGCACTTTTCTCCATGCTTGGATGAGTAATAGCGGAATTGTGCTCTTCCTAATTAATCACCAGCTTCCTATCTGTAATTTTACTCCTTTTCGCTAAGCACTTATCATTTTAAGCTGACGAATCGGTGTAATTGTAACTTAATCTCGCTTTAATTGCATCTGCTTTAGGTGAAGCTAACCATCATTTATTAATTTACGTGTAGTGCTTCAGTTAACGGCATATCCTTGTAGCTTTTACATAAAGGACAAACCATGGCCTTGAGGCCTTAGTTATTATCAAATCTTTTATTGACCATTTTTTTTTCGAAAGAAGTACTTATTTTCTGTTGTAGAAAGCCTTGTACTGACCTTTGTACCTTACGCAGGACAAATTCCTTCAGGAATGCGCCTATTGCTGCGCTTATTTAACACATCGATCAAACATTTTTGACTTTTATCTTTAGCCCAGAAATGTCATTTCCTTTCAAGTGTTGCCAAGATATTTTCCAATTTCATACAATATATCACATATAACTCATTTCGGTGCATTTTTTCATGAGAAAATGGGCAGTTTTGTGTTATTTACACTTTAACCATTTATGGGACTTTACATTTCTGAAATTTGACATTTATTTCTTAGGCTCAATAATTTAGGCCATGAATTGCACTTTAAATACCGCCCCTAATTCTGTCCAAACAGACAGGGCATTTTTATAGGTGTAATCACTAGCAGTAATCACTGCTGTAGTTGACTTTAAAAAATTGTGTGCTTGAGAGACTCGTTGCTTAGATTTAAATTAATTTTATAATCTGGGAAATGGTTATGGTTTTTCTTAACTTCAAATGCAGTAAGTCAGTAATTTTAGTGTTTTAAAAAGCCGGTTTAATCAACGCTTACCTGAACTATTCCAAATAAGCAGATGTCTGAGTTCATCTATTCGTTCAAGAAATATCCAGCTGATGTCTCATTTACAACCGCTAATGGTATTGCTGCATGCTTAAGCTAAGCTGAATTTCGCAGGGTAATTCATGAGCTGAAACGTTTATTTCATAGTTCATTCAACCAGAAACATCTAGATCACTTAATTTTAACTTTTCTGTTTCCATTCTGATCTTTATATGCCTAGTATGCCTCTTACAATGTTTCACGTTTGTGTTTTGACATTTCGTATGAACATGCCCTCGCCATCACAATTGTAGAAAAAACTATGCTGGTCAATTTTGTCTTTTCTACCCTGTTTGTTGATCAAAATAATTTCAACGTCATCGCTATATGCGCGACAGTGGCTTTAGGGCGCGCAAAATTGTCTATAATTCTTTCTTCCCCGGGTTCCGTTTTTCTACTTTACAAAGTGTAGGCTAATGGCATGGCATGGAATGGCAAAAAACTTTCCCACGATCTTCCATCATCATCTTCACCCTTTGCACTTTTTCAAGCCCTTTTAATGATCGCAATTTTTTATCTCATAGCCTTTTTTCACCCGCCAAACTTGACGGTTTTTCAATGTCAATGTGATGGCTACTTCCCCTAACATTAATTGTGCATTCCGATGTTTGCCCAGGTATAAAAATTGTAGATTCCCAAATCGTTCTTTTTTGACCGGTCATGCTCACACTTCGAAAGTATAGTGATTCTTGAACTACTTTTCAGCTTGAAACTTCTTATCCGTAGTTTGATATCCTTACGTTGCTTTAATTATTATGCTTTGGGCCTTAATGGATTTCCCATCGTCACCTGAAACCCGCTTATTATGAAAATGCTAAGCTCAATCAAAAAGGTTTGACTTACAAAGTATTATTTCATATTAAAAATGAAAATGAAATTAATTTGAAGGTGACTTTACGAATTTTCTGTTTCGCTTTTGTTGGTACAAAAGGGCTCTAAGTATCAAGCGTCGAAGGAATAGTAATGCTTTACTCTCGCTTCCCGAAAATTGGCCTATTTTTGCAGAGGTTTTCACTGCATCAAAGGGCAGCTGTCCAATTCAAAAATGCTTTCTGAGGTTAACCCGCTTTCGTTTCGTAAGGGATCGAATACGTTTGCAATGACTTAAATACCGAACTGTCAGCTTACAATGAATTGGATTGTCTTTTTCGGGAAATTTACCCCTCATCCTTCACTTTAAGCACCTTAGGAGATTTGTGCATGACAATTTCATTTAAAGTACAGGCTCAATAGTCAAAGACAAACTCTATGTGCTTGAGAATCTTTTCACTTCCAACTTTTGAACCTGTGATTTGTATCCTTTATGGTTTAACTTCGGCTTTGGAAGCGCAGTTCGTATAGACCGACACGATTCCCATTATCCTGTTTTCCTTATCGGTCTATATATTGTCTGGTCCACTGACATCCGTACCATGGTTAAATACCTGCTCTCTTATCCTTTTTTCCGCATAGCCTTCTTAATCATATTGACATAGTACAACTATTCATTCCGACATGGAAATATTGTCGAATGCTCTACTTTAAATGAACACTTAACGAATAGTTATTTTGTCAGGCATTTCGTTTTTTGTATTATTGGAGCATGCACCCCGTCTTTCTGTCTCATATTTAATTCATAAAATTTCCCCAACGATTTGAAATATCGATACTACCAAGGATCTTTCACAAGCTGAGATTTGCATTTCCTTCTATGTTGTAAGACAACGTGTATTTTGCCAAGTTAAAAAGAGGTAGCGATGCTTTCGATTTTATCTATCTGTACCAATCGTAGTTTCATTTTCATATGCTCACTTAAATCCGTCTTTCTATACTGTTTATAATCCTTTTTGGATTTAGTTTGTCAGCGAAATTCAATGCCGTAATTAGTCCAATCTTCGGTTATAAACCGATTTAGACCCTAACATCAGGTAACACTACACCAGGTGTGTTAACCATTCAAGCCTTAAGCCTGATTGTTAAAGAGGATTGCTATCTTTCGGTGACTTAGCCGTACTTAAGCGTCAATCAAAACCATTTATCAAACTAGAAAATACACTTGCAAACACGAAAGTGGTGCGTTTTGTTGGCTTTCCCTGTGCGAGTATAATTTATTTCTGTATATTAACTCTGTGCTACCTGAGTACTGCATCAAATGTAGGTTTTTTGGAATGGGGTTTTATTTACTAGCATTTGATTTCCCTTCCCCTACTTTTTGAGTTTGCCGTCTAGCATTATTTCAGGAACCACTTAATCAGTCATTTTCTGGCTCACTAGCACCTCTATCATTCACCGTTCTGCGATATTCCGTACGATAACGACCACAGTTGTAGTCGGACACAGCAAAAGGTAAATATTGCTATCTCACCCTAAGCACCTTCTCCCCATTTGGCTTGCGCTTATCCCGGAAGGGGTCAGAGTTCAGTCATGAGAAGCCAATGAAGGAAAAAGGGTGGCAAAAAGGCGTCATCGTAGTCGTTTAGGCTGAGAAAAAAGCAGGATGTTACGCATCGGTTCCCAAAAAAGCGTTCATATGCGTGTACGCCTGTGCGACCTTTTCGAGTGGAATATGGGCGTATCGAGTTCGGAGGATTTTTTCGCCTTTATGGCACTCTTTTTTCCTCAGTTTTGTTTGCATGACTCAGGCGCTGAGTTTGGGCTTGCGTATTCCGCATCTGGTGGGATAATTCAAAATTATCCTCCCAACATAGAATGTTGCTTTGTTGTTTCATTTCCGTTTAGGTGACCAAAAGCCTATCATCTGTCAATAAGACAATGTACGAACGATTCCATTCTTGTTAGGTTATGTTGTGTGTTTCTTCTGGAATTCTAAAAAGCTTCTTATTAAGATTGTTTGTGTTCAATTCTCTTTCCATTTTCGTTCTCCTAAAGGGGTCATTGTTGACAGTGGAATTCTAGTTACTGTACTTTTCTCGCAAATTTTTTAAGAAGGCGTAAGAAGTTGAGGTTTCGTCCAACTCATTGTGTTTGGTCATGAAACCAGATCCATCCGTTAAGAATACTAGGAATTTATCATTCTTTTGTATTATTACTTTCCCGAATTATCGTATCTATGTTCACTGATTTTTATCTTCATATTCATGTGCTTTCGTTTCGACTTTGGTAAAAAGATAGGCTCTCTTTCTCTTACCACTTAATAAAAATCTCTACTGTTCTATCTTTGGATACGCCGGCCTATTTAGCTTAGTGATCTTCTAAATTAGGAATTCGAAAAGTCTTTGGGTTCTTTCGTGTCAAAATTTTTGCGGTAGATGAGTGAATTGGACATTTTTGGGCCTTCACTGCATCCGTATTAAAAATCAGCGTTGTTAAACGGCGCTTCAATATATTTCCGTGCATAGACCGCTATTGGAACAACTGTCACACCTTCCTCACTATCTTAACAAAAAAATTCACTAAGCTGCCTCACTTTTTATCATGTTTTTAAAGTAAAATTTTTTGGTGGGTACAAGTAAAGCCTGAACCTTCATTGTCTGTTATAGACCTACTTAAGGACCCGTCAGCGAGAAAGAGGAAGCGCTTCTACCTTACTGCAGGGAAATTTTAGCATCTTTTGTTATCAGCCGACCTCATTGATGCGCCAGGTTTGAGCAGGTGTTTGGTGATCTCGGCATTTGTAATTCAAATATTTCGTTTGTTAGTTTGTTTCAAATTGACGAGGTTTGTTGGCTCAGTCACTGAGGCAGTGTGGAATCGGCAGGTGTTATCAATACAGTTAACAGGGGCTTGTTAGTTGCACTCCGACTAAATGTACCAATTTGGGTGCTCAGTTTCAGTGTTTTGCATTGTAGATTGTATCTTTGCATAATAGTTGTGATACTGGACCAAGTGAGCATTGGTATTAAGAAAGGTGTAGTATACGCGTCACAATCAAATATGAAAAATTCTATTTTAAACTGTTGTGTATCCCCTAAACTTATCTGCCCTTTTTAGCCCCACGTACTTTTGATGAAATCGTTCACGAATGATACAGAATTTTTTTGAGATAGCATTATTGGATGAGCGCAAGTGAAAAACACTGCTACGAGGGCGGTACCGACTTAGTTGTTTCACCAAACGTCAACAGACGACAGTAGCAGCACCACTCGATAGAATCATCTCTACTCCTGAGCCTGCCAACACCAACCAGGCATTCGTCAGTCAACCAGATGTGATGTTATCTCTTAAGCAATAGTTACTCTTACGGAAAGCAATATGAACTCACACATAAAGTAAATGAACGGAGACTGTTTTATTTTTGACCACTTTTCAAAATTACCCTTTATCTCCTTAGTTCAACCACATCTCCGAAACCATAGCTCTATTGTCCTTATGACAACATATCAAGTGAAGTTTTATTGAAATAGAACCGCAAAACCAATCATTACCAGGAACGGACTCCAATACGCTCCTTTCAAGAGAAAGCATCCTACATATAAGTTACTTGTCTAAATTTGCACAAAGTAGAGCAAAATAAGGGGAAAAAGTCGCGAAAGGAGCAATCCTGGAGATGAAGGGTGATCGGGGTCACTGATTCAGCACCATTCCTGCTAATCAAAACAGGTATAACTTGAGGCAAATTGCTAAGAGGTAAATTGGCGACATAGTAGCGACAAGCAGGAAGAAGATAGAGGAAGAAATAATGGCAATAGCAAAAGTGACTCATTCTCAGGGTATTTGCAGCTTTAAAAAAATACCCCCTCCTGTTTTAAAAAGTGCCTTCTGCCAACTTTGGCGACGTCTGGCTAATTGGACCCTTGCCAGTGTATGTGCTCGTTTGTGTGTGACTAATACCCAGGTGGGACGCTTTTTGCAGAATTTCAAATCTCCAAATTCCCTCACCCCTCCTTCTTGCTAATCACTTTGACGACATCTTTTGAAGTGTAAAGTTTGTTGGAAAAGACTGAGTCCAAGCACACGAACTAAGTTATTCCCAAAACACTTTTCGCTGAAGGTATGCAATTTCGAACCAATTCTTGGTGAATGGCAATTATTCGGTGTAGTTTGACGTTTTCACAAGATTATTGGACAGGGTCTCGGGATTTTGACTAGCTGACCAACAAATTAGAGAACCTGTTTTCCTGTATTCGAAAGCACTCTATTTTTCTCAAAGGCGTCATTTATCGAGTATTTTGGAAAAACGGATATTTCGACTCACTTTAGATCTTCCTGAATAGTTAGTTATCATTGTAGCAACTCCTGGAAGTTATCTAACGCATTTTGTGTCGTTTAAATTCCATTAGCTTATACTGTAAAATGAACTATCCTTTATGCCCTACTAGTAGTTGCTCCTTTGCTTCTATTCAGAAACCTCTTTTCATTTAACATTACTTGCATATCCCTCGTAAAATTTCAATACTGTCTGTTGGGCCTGAAATTTCGGCAAACAATATGAGACTTTTAGGTTATTCCACCCGACCTCTTGTAGCTGATTCATGATTATGAATTCTCTTCTGTCTCTCAATAATCTTCTCATTGTTTCATTTCTCAAACTCATTTATTATGCTTCACTTTTTTCTCACTTTGTGCTTCCGGTCCCATCAACTTCAGTACGTCTCTTCTACCTTTGCCCAAGTTTGCTAGACAAATGAATTAGACACTGCAGATCAAAGTTTGTTCTAAGAATGATATTGTCTCATTGAAATCGGTTCTTTCATAAACTGGTCATTTTGCCTAAATTTAGAGATTATCATTCGAGAGTAGTGTCGCAATGTGTCCAATATCTATAATAGGTCTGTCTGATAAGTGTGCGAATCCTAGTGCTTAGTCGCGCAAGAAGGTCCCACATGAGTTTTAGCTATTTGTTCTCTTCGAGTCTAACCTTTTCAGAAAACACTGTTCAAATTCATTAGAAGTCTCTGTGAGATATTGCCGCTAATTACTTTAATGAGAGGTTAGGATTTGTAAAGTTGACTGCGTTTAAGCACACCCATGCTCAGTCTTAGCTACTCCATTTTCTGCACACAGTATCAATTTTGGTGACAGGAAGGGGTTTGTTGATGAGGCATCTGGAGCGTCTTCTGCACTCCTGTCTCACCTGGTACAGCCACAGTTGTAGCTTGGACCATCCGCCGTGCAGCGATGACCACACCAGCCATCGCCGGCACCGCTTCACCGCCTCTAGACACGAAGACTCCGCCGATCACTTACGTGAACTCATTTTGGTCCAGATCTTCGAACTCCTTGCCAACTTCGCCTGGTTCGTCGACGCCCTGAGCTTCTTTGCCAAGGTAGCTAAATATTCCTTTCCATCCCTTTTCATTATTTCTTGTCCTCTTTCTTGTCACATTATGACACTTAAAAAATGTAAAATGAGGTTTTTTCATGTCAATTAAAACAAAAGGCCTGTGTTTTTGCTCTTTACCCAGAATAATTGAGCCCTTCGTCACAAAATCGTCCAAGAATAGTTTCAGCGACTTGTGTATGTTTGTTAGTGTTTTAGGAGTAGAAACTGTCATTACATCAGTTATTCGATCATAATCACCATTCTATGATACTAATGATGGCATAGTAAGGGCATTTGTAGCGCAGGAAAGGTTCTCTAACATATGGCTTTTTTCTAGTGAAAATTACTCTTATTGTAACACTGACTACCACTTGGGAATGTTAGCTGTTGAAGTATTCTTTATTTCTCCAAAATACTATCCTTTGTATTTCTAATGTGGAACTTTGAGAAAATTTTCACGTTTTTAAGAATATTTGATTTAAAAGGTCTGTGTTTCCATTTTGCCCCAATTTGTACTCTATCTAGATGGAAAAGGATCATCATTACCAAATCATCTAAAAACATGCTAATTTTTGAGTGCACGCGTTGACGTTGTAAACATAAACGCTATGGCATCATACACAAGGAAAATAACCACACTGAAAACTCGGTGTGACCTTTTAGCTTTAAGGAAGTTTGTGGTTTCCTGATTATCCGTAAATATGTTTGAAATTGCACTACCGAATATAAATGTGCAATTTATTTTCACCACCCACCAAAATGTCGTTAATGTGTAAAGGGAAATTCCGACCAAATAAATAAATGTTTT